ACACAAATCCAATTGCAATTGCAAAATGCCTCACATCTCTTGCAAAGCGAAACACTGCATTATATCACTAAAGGGAACATTTTTCTTACATTGCAAACACCTTTGCCATAATATTTATTTTGGATATATCACATACACCGTTATTCAATCAAAACCTAAAGCTCTTCTTTCATTAACTTCTATGTACATTTCTGTACAAGATTGAAAATAATTTGCAGAGAGATTCAAATTCATGGTAAACACGAAAGCAAAATTTAAACCAAACTTTTTTTTACTGTAAGCATTTGCGGTGGTGAATACAATATTACACAGTACGAAAGAAAAAGAAATACATGAACCTTGTGTAGTTGTATAGATGTGTATTTATAGGCCTATTTTAACGCCACGTGTTAAGCAACGAGTGTTTGCGCCCGAGTGTCCCGCAGGCAATCACAGCCGATGATATAGAGCAGGTATCACTCTCGTACTCAAGTGATATTGCGTTTATACAACAGTTCGACGGCACGAGTGCAAATATATATGAAAAACAACAACGGAGTGACTTTAAAAACCCTTTTGTGCGGAACTACTTCATTCAGCCACATATTTTAAATCTCAGTTTGACAGTTGAGACAGCTGAGCTGAAGCCTCCATTACTAATTTGAAAACGTCATTTTAGAACTAGTAATGAAGGAATGTTGAGTTGCTTAATTAAAAATTGTATTACTTCATTAAAAGCTCACTGTATTATGTAGAGTAGAGTATTATGAGAGAGAGAGATGGACTGAGCGAGTGTGATTACCTGCATCTGATACAGCATTCATTCTTCAGCTCAATCTCATATTCACAATAAAACATTAGTTTCAATGTCCTCTGAGGAAAGCATTATCTTTGTTGTACTGTCTGTCATCTGTTAAGGGTGATTTCCGATGACAGCGCTGCTCAGTGCATTTGTTAACTGCGTCTTACAAGCTGTTATTAAAAGTAAAAATAACTTCCGTTTCAGTCTCTTTCAATATAAAAGTCTTAAATGCTGACTCGTAAAACAGTCACTTGTCACAAAAATCACCATCACGAATACACACAGTTTCCCAATACTAAATACTACTATAAAATATTATTTATTGAATAATAAACAACAACAACAGCATCATAAAAGCCATGCTCTAATATACAGCATTAAAGTTACATAAAATATAACGTGTTGAGATTTTGCCTTCAGCCGAAATTATTTGCTCTGGAACAAATAATAGATTAATGAGACCAAAGACTGCCTGTCAGATTTACCCAAAACAAATTATATCTCATGTTTAACCACTATAGAGACATCAGAGCCAGCGGCAAATTCCAGAAGATCTGGCCGAGGTGAGGCTGCTCTCGGCGGGTTCATGAGCGCTGAACGGCCGCTGACGCCCTGGAGCTCACGTCTCC